CTCTTCTCTCTTCTCTCTCTCTCTCTCTCTCTCTCTCTCTCTCTCTCTCTCTCCACCGGGGCTGTTCTAAAAATAACTCGATGCAAGGGAGGTATCTGGTGTCGCAAGATGACGCTTCGGTTTCTCTTATTCTTTTTTGCGCAGACCTTCGCGTGAAATATAAATAGATCTTCAGCCGACAACGTTGCGCGGAGGAGGACGCGCACGCCGGACATTGAGATTTATATACTTGAATGGAACTTTCACCGGTTTACGCGTGGGTGTTACACTTCGAGCGTCCCATCTCATCACACACTCCACACACACAATTGACATGCGTCACATAGAAGCGGAAATGGGGTGACTTCCGCCCTTTCAATTTTGTTATTTATTAAAATCAACTTCTCTCGCGGAAGATGACGCATCACGTCATCGAAATTGTTATGTTTGCCATGTTAAAAAACCGTTTACGTTTGTTAGTGCTGAAATATTTAAGTAAATCTTTCTTTCCGCATGTACACTTGATCTTTTATTTTACTACTGAATTTTATTTACAGAATTTAGAGTTGGATGTGAATGAATTTATTTTGATGACTTATACGATAAATTTTTTCAAAATTATTATTATAAAATTTTATTGTTTTGTTTAAAATTAATTTGAATTATTTCAACAACTCAATCTTTTCTTATAAATAATTATTGCGTAAAATATCAGTACATTTCCGAATCGTGCGAATAATTAAATTGTACGTGATGTTTTCACTGCAACCTTTAGAGAATCGCTCGAGAAACAGAAATTATCACGTAGGAATAACAGTTGTAGCATGAAGGAGGAAGTAAAACTTTTGAGCGGGAAATCATTTTGAGCAATTACTTGCTCGCTATTATGTACTGTACTAATGAAATTGCAATGTAGGAAATCGTGTTAGATGGTTGAGGGCGAAGTAGATAAAGACTACCCTTTGCCACGCGCCGTTCACTTGGATTTGTACCGTTAAAGTGGATTTCCCCAACACGTTCGACCAAGCAGTCTTTTGGGGTCGACAGGATTCCCGTAAATGTTGTAGGGAGAGAGAGATTGAGAGTAGGATTTGTGCCACGATGCTTGTAGCTTTCATTGATGATTGATATAGTCGGTATCATCCGATTATCTCATTCACCCGCGTCGCAATAAAGTTTATTAAACGACCAAAGCTCTCGTCCTATTTACGACAAAGTATGGAAGAAAAGATCGTGTTTTCGACCCGATCAAGTTTCCTGTAAAGATCAAGTTTCCCATTTGACAGTACCACGAATCTCGCGATGACGCACGTCGCATCTAAGAACGAAGACTCCCATAAATGTAAAATATTTAAATTTCTTTACAAGGCGAATTTGGATGAAGGCATTTCGGAGGAAATTTTTTGCACCACTATAGGGAAATATCTTGCAGTCTGTGAAAAATTCGACACGTTCGTTGATAGTGTATTATCTAATTATAGATAATTTCTATTTTATTTATAATTAGAATAAACCACGAAATTTTTTAATATTAAAAATATTTAGGAAGGAATATTTTTTTTTGTAATATAATTGTTACATATGTTAGTGAATCATACGAATGCGCGACGGTACCTTAATTTTATTAAATTGTTATTAAATTTGCGTAAAATATGAATGATGCGTGTGAATTGACTTGGAAACTTAGGAAGTAAATAATTGAATCAATATGTCAGTCGGGATTTGACAACAGTCATTAGGATGATATAACGATTGATAAGGATATTTTCTTGAGCGAGTATGCCCAAAAAGAAACGGAATAATCATTTGTTTGATTGATAAAAAATTACGCGGATAAAAGAGCAGTATAAGTTATTTCTTGCAGCGAGTTATCCGGTTTACCGCGTTTCTGTTCTGACAAATGTTTATTCTATGCAAAAGGTCTAGTTGTACAGTAGTTACTTTTCAAATGTCAACGACAGAGACAGAGAGAAAGAAAAAGAGAGAGAGAGAGAGAGAGAGAGAGAGAGAGAGAGAGAGAGAGAGAGAAGACGGACGTTCTAGAGATCCGGCACGCGGATCCGCAGCTGCATCTCTTCTCACAATGTCAGCAAATCCGACGATAAAGATAACATCGTGCATAGAAGGCATTAGGCTTTATCCCTTTAAAGCCGTCCACGTCATGCCGGCACCACGGTCGCGTTTATCCTTAAACAGCCTCTTTTGGAGTACTTGCACCTTGTAAATCATATCCGGAACGCGGAATTTGCTAGAGCATCATCATTTCGCGATGTTATACACATACACACACGGACACACATGTTCTATTTTAAAATACGAACAAGTAATAATTCCAACAGATATTATTTCAACATAATTTATAACTAAGCATTAAGTAATTAATTTATATGTAATTTTGCTTATTAATATATATAATTTTAAACATTATAATTATATATATAAACATCAATAATTTATAATTAATTCTTTCAACAAGTCAGGACTTAAATGCGAACAGAGATGAGCGAGTGTCGACTTTTATTATTGAAAACATACACGCTTTCCGATGACATTTTGTCTCTTTAACTTTGTTTAATCTGGCATATCACGGCGCTTCAAATTTGTTTATCGAGATGAATACCGCATGAAATATTCTGCCCGCGTTTAATTTCGCTACGCAAATATCGTATGTGTATAAATATGCGCTTCTGCGGCTCCGGAGAATTCAGTAATTTAAATAATCTCTTTTCCGTTCCGTACTGTTATTACGCGGCCATAATGAAAGCTCGCAATTAATTGTGTTTTTGCTTCAAATTATACGCATATTTTGATATTAACCATTTATTTCTTATTTTCTGATTATGTCAAACAGTTTTCTTACGGAATTAACATATGGTATATTTAAGAATTAGTGGGAAATACAAATACTTTCAAAATCCTTTTAAACGATTTCGCGTTTTGATATAAAGAAGCAACAACCGGACAATCAAAAGGTTTACGTTGCATTAACAATGAACTGTTGAGTTAACTAAAAACGTATCTCGTGGCTTTGTTCGTCAGATTTCGTCAAACCAAAAGTACACCTTGTATCAAAGTGTGAGCATTGTAATTGTCAATCCTATTATAGAGCTAGCGGAAACCTCGATTCCATTGTCAAAGCGTGGAAATTGCACCAGATGTACTTCCGTTATTGTCCCACATTTAAACATTGTCGTGTATTTTACATGCTCGCGTTGTTCCATTGCGGGCAAAATTCTTCGACCGAGCGCACGTCGATAAACTTTCACGACTATCAAAGCCCTCTCCCTCTTTCTCTCGTCGGCTTCGCAATTTCCATTGCTCTTTCTTCGTATATTGGCTATGGAGTAAGTTTTCCTCTGATGTTTATCGATTTCAAAGGAACGCGTCGCGTGTAGCCTCAATAGCCCTCAATGTTTCCCTTCGTCCTTTGCTATCCGAAAAGCCATTGTATCATTACGGCATCGTCCTTCGACGCGGCTTCTCGTAACTTCAGGGAAACGCTCAAATTCCTTTCACTAAAAATCCTCCTCCTCTTCTTCGCCGATCAATCACAATTTCAATCCGATCGCAAACGTCGCGCATTATCATTTTAATAATGGGTCTTCTTGGATTTTTATTTCGCGAGGGAATACTTCAATTCTCAGAAAAAAAACCTTCAAGTTAATAAAAATTTGAAAGCTTGTTCTGCACGAGTACAAATTCCTGCTATAAATTCTTAAGCCACGCAAAATTGACGCTTTACATTGTCGAATATTGTTGAATATTTTTCTGTTTTATTTGGAATGTTTAAATGAAAAAATACAAGTACGTAATGTTATACATTCATTCCGGTCACGCAGCTTAAGAGACATTCAATTTTCCGGTCTTCGCGAAAGCCTCGATCTCACGACGCTGGTTTCGATATAACGTTTATAAGATTGACATTTATAAGATGGGCGTTTTATTTCTTGCGCTCCGCGGGGAGGCCATTGTGCGTGTCCGTACATGACTTTATTATACTCTCCGCAAATCTCCGGCTTTCGCGAGGCTAGCCTTTCGAACCTATTTACGTCTACGAGCGCAATCTCCAGCGCGCACCATTTACGTGCTGCGACAGTCTCTTTCCCGCCCAC